TCTTTTTGAATACTAAAGATTTATTCTATTAAAATTCAATAATGATTTTAATCAATTTTTTGCGTTTTTGACTGCGTTTTAGTAGGATACACCTTGAGAATGCACACTAAGAAGGAATTTTTGGAAATTATCCCTGCAGGAGAGAGGGACAAGGTTAAGGATTATCTTAAAGAACTCTGCTTTACTGTACTATTTTAGATGCGGTTTTTTGCGTTTTTGCAGAAAATCGAACATATTTTCAGACCATGTAAAAATTCTCTAATTAATCTCGGAAGAGGGAGACCTAATTCTTGCATCCGGTGAAAACGGGTAAAATCGGCTATAATCTAAAAATCTTAATCTTCGCTATCGTTATTTTTTGCCCGTGCAACGCCGGGCTCATCTGCTAGTAAAGAGATAACGAATATCTGTCAAATTGACAGCTAGCAGCCGTTTTGACATATGCCTTTCCTTAACTTGTCATTGTATTGTCTCCACTTCAACGTATATAAATTTAGTAAAAATAGAGCAAAATATAAGGAACGCAAAAGTAGCAAATGCAAATATTTCCTAAGCAACTCTCTCTATCACATACAGAATTTAAAAGTCATCCAATATTACCTAAATAACTCTATCACACACAGGCACACGTTCCGCACCTGATATATACCCAGTTCATGCAAATGCTATACTGTATTTTAATTCGAGTTCTTATTGTCACAACATAACCCTTTTCAATGATAATAAGTAACTAAAATTGCTGTAAAAAATAATAATTCTCTTACCTGATCTACTTTTTAAACACAAAAAACTGAACTAGTAAAAATGCAAAAATATTATATTGATACAGATATATATCTGATTCACTGATTTAAACACAGCACAGCCACTCACTACTTATAGAGATAAACTAAGGTTAAAACCAAATATTGTCAATAATTTAAGGTCAAAGCAGAACATTCAACACGTTACACGTGCAATTGTCTTTTATGATAATTGCCGCCTCAGCTTTTAGGAGAGTTGCGCGGTATATTACAAACAAAAACAATAGCTTTGCGCTGTCTTCTCAAAAGCCATTTGACTGCCGCTCTCCAACAATGCATTTGCACCATAAACCGAAATCAAAGGATACCGAAAGCACTTAAGCAGAGGCGTGCGATAAATCATTAATAGTATACATGAATATCGGAATAACATAGATCAATATAGAAAAGCGTTGCGTAAAAATTTGTAATTATTGAATGGTTCAAATAATATTTTGATTTCGCTGCTTATGCCGCTTCCTTACTGTGCCGCCTGATGCGGCCGCATCACTGCATCATAGCACGGCACGGCCCTGACTATATATAACTGTATTAATATCAGTATATTAAAGAAAATTTCTATGCTCATTATTTAGATTAAAAGGTTTCGTCAAATTTGTCAGTATAAATTCCTTTTTTAACTGGAATGAAACTGTAGGTTTAAGTAAGTGATTAGAACAAATTAAACAAATATTAATAGTTATAATCATTTAAAAGAAATAATTTATAATTTTTATAATAATTATACGTTATTAATATAATCAGAATAAAAATTATGATGATGAAATTGCATCTTATTCACATTTACGTACTCTCTTCTACATTTAAAATATTTTTCATTTTTAGTTTAGATGCAAATACAGGAAATCCTCGTTAATTCGAAATTCAAGGGACGAAATAATCCCGTCTTCGAACAATCAAGTTTCAAATTATCCAAGATTTACATATTTCTGTAAAAAAAGGGTCCCCCCTATGCTTCGATACCACAGGACCGAAGGGTCGACATTGCGTCGGCGAAGATTGCAATGACAAATTTATCAAGACTGACACAACTGTGTCTTCTGCGTAGACACAGAGACCGTTACATTCGCATTTATGTGCGAGCAGTCGCGTCTGTGGGTGGTTGGACTCGGGATGGAGACCGCTTGAGGAAGTGCATCCAACACAATTCTAATAATAACAACATTCGTTTATTAAACTAGTTCTACAAAAGGGCATTTACCTTAAAGCTTCTTCGCGAGAACCGAGTTGGAGACAGAGAGTTTACATAACATCGCGAGTCGTTATAAATACCTGAAGCAGTATGTACTGATTTCCAGATGTCTGTGGAGTCGTTGGGGAGCCTTGGGAATGTCTCTGTTGTCTTGGATGGAGGTTAAAGTGTATCGAAAGTTGAGATCCGTTAGTTCTTCGTAAGTGTTCCTGGAGAAACACTGGATATTCGGGGGAAGCGCGCGGCGACGAGCGATGATGATAAATCCTTTCGGTGGCACACAGGGAATATTCTCACAGACTCTCGACCTCTCTCACTGTTCCTTGAGGTCTCCTCTTTATTTCCATGTGACGTTGTTGTTTTCCACTAATAGTGAGTTTTTTGTTGTAGTTCCCAGTGACACATTCTGAGTTCCCTGGGAAAGAAAACGACTCCGGGAAGAGAATTGCACTCATCCTCCGGTAATAAAATGCAATTTTTTTTTTTGCGATTTAAATAAATTTCCTTTTCAAAACGAAAAATGAATTTTCTTTCGAAAAATTCCCGAATAAAATTGTGGGTTTTCCCCTTTCCAAGTCCGATCTCTCACAATGCCAAATGTCATGTAATTGATATAATTATTAAGCAAATGGAATACAGCTACGTATACAGAACTAATAAATAATAATAATAGACTATAAATAAACTGCAGGTAAACAGCATGTGTCCAGTGAGAATCTCACTGGTTGCCATATAAGTTTTACAAAAAAATAAAGCAGAATTCCTCGAAATATAGCGCAAATTATGTTTAAAGAGGCCCAAACATAGTAGCCTATAGCCCTACAAATATCCTAATCTGCTACTCGTAGCCCAATATTACAATCCCTAAAACCAGTCGTAGTTTAAAAGATAAGTGAAGAAAGGGTAGGCTTGTTCATAGGTAAGAAGACACCCGAAAATGTGTTACTGTAAAAGCAAAGCCAGATTGACCAGACTAGAGTTGTTCTTGGTCTATTGTTCTGTTTAGTATGGAGGCACTTCGATCTAAACTATGAGTTAACGTATGTATATCACTGTTCGGACAGAATTTTCACTTCGAATTTCGAAGTAACTGTATTTCGAACTAACCGAACTCCTTAACGTGTAAATATCTATATCCCCGGCCGGGACAAAAATACAGTTACGAACTAACGGAATTTCGAATTATCCGAGTTCGAGTCAACGAAGATTTTCTGTAACAGTATATAGTGATAAGTATAACCAGACTGTATATTATTTAAAGTCTATACCGATTACTGCTTCTTATAAAGTCATTATTTTGTATAACTAAATACTACACATCAATTACTATAGTCTATATTAGAAATAAAAAACTATTATTTTTAAAGCTTTGTATATTAAACTTTCTTTGTATCATCTTTAAATCTTGTAAGTCAAATTTAATCCACTCCTAATTAAGATAGGTTAAAACTTTGATAACATGCGTAAGTCTGATGAGAACGCATTTTTATGATGTTTATGGGGTGGCTCCATCCCCACCGTCATCTTCACCCTATAGACATAAATAAATGTAGAATCTAGTCATAACGTGTGTGTGTAAATACACTGTAATGATGACACATTCCATCATATCCTAACTCTAATCTAGAAAAACACAATTAATAAAAGTGAATCTTTTACATTTTTAAATTTATATTAAAATTGTTAACCTTTTAAAAACTTCAAACAAATATTTTTATGTTAAAAACTTCTGGTTCATTGGACAGGCGCGGATTATCGACGAAGCTGCGGCGGCGTCCTATTGTTAAATTGTGTTGTGTTGTCGATGACAACACAACACAACTTAATGAGCACGACTTTGGGCTTAATCCAGAGGAAGACCGTCTTCGACCTTAAATTACCGATTTTTATAGTTTTTCTTCCGTTATCCGTATTTCTGATTGGCCCATGTCCATTCCTCGCTTCCCGATTGGCCTCTCCTTTGTTTCCAGATGAAAACCGAACCCTGATCGGGTCAGGAGAAAGGTCCGATTCGAGACATCTGTTCGACACCTTTTCGTCGACTATGCCCGGAGATTGTTGATAGAAGACTTGCACTCATAATTTAGCCCTTTGTTTGCGATTTTTCGTCTTGGAACTTTAACGATCGTACGCGATGTTTTTCTATCTCTCAAATCTTTCCCCTTTTTCGAAATTGTTTTCCTAGATCTACTGGTTATGAGCACCTGAGTCAGAGTTCTACCTAGTTTTTCTCGACTGACATTCCATCTGATCTGCTACGTCATATGTTTTCACGTCGCGTTTGTTTGACAGTTGCATTTTTTTTTCTCTCTCCCTTACATAACTAACATAACCTTTGGTCCGACTCGACAATAGCGTTTTCGCTCCTAATTAATTTGAAATTAAATTTTTGTTTCGATCCGTTCTGGAATCTCACAGAAGCTGCTGAGCTGCTGGATGAACCATACAGTTATATCATCGGCAGGATAAAATCTGTGACCTTTAAGAAATTATTTAAACTTCCGAAAACATGAAAGTTGCAAAGCGACCTATCGGAATTGTAAGGGCAGATGCTGCAGAACTTTTCATTTGTAGCGATGCAGCAGCCACCTTAGAAGTCGTCGAGACTTCTAAGGTGGCTGCTCCATCGCTACAAATTGCAAATTCCACCAATAGTGTGCATCGCACACTATTGGTGGAAAACTTGCAATATTCATGTTTTCGGACCTTTAAAATGTTTCTGAAAGGTTGCAGATTCCAGTCTGACAGCGAATTCCAGCAGCCTTTATTTTTATATGTGAAGTAATAAAATGAAGCTTACGCAATATTGTCATTGTAATGTGTATAATGTAATCACGCAATGGTGACCTATGACACTGTTTTATAACGTCCAGTGTATGTTTCATTAAACAACGATTATAATTGAAATTGCTCAATCTATTTGCAGAAACTTCTCATTTAACATTTCGATTGATGAAGTTACATTAAAGAAAAAGTTAATTTCTTATTTTATTTATATTTTGTAGGAGTTATAATCTTTGGATCAGATCAAGAAGTAGCCGGAGTAATGAGAGCAATTCGAAGGAACAACGCAACAGGTATCTTCTCTTGGATAGGTAGCGACGGATGGAGTGCAAGAGCATTAGTATTTGAAGGTAATGAAGATCAAGTAGAAGGAACTCTTTCTGTGCAACCGAGAGCAAATCCCGTACATGGTTTCGACGAATATTTTCTAAACTTAACTGTGCACAACAATCGAAGAAATCCTTGGTTCGTGGAATACTGGGAACATTTTTTCAATTGTCGATGGCCCAATAGCAGCGACACTCCATTCAATTTAAGATATGAAAAACTATGTACCGAAGAAGAATTTATGACATATCAAAATGGATACGAACCAGAGAAACAACTCCAGTTTGTCAGCGATGCAGTTCTGGCCTTTGCTCATGCTCTGAAGATGATGCATAACGATTTTTGTCATGGAAAACTGGGCTTATGTGCAAATATGAAATGGAACAATGGAACAATATTACTGGACTATCTAAAAAAAGTATCTTTTGTGGGTAAGTTTAAAAATAACAATAAGAAATTTATTCAACTTTCACTTGTTTTAACAAAAATCTTTATTGTTTAAATATATACGGGTACAAAAATTACAAATCTTCTTTAATACAACACAAGTGCAAGAAATCTAATGTATAACGTCTTCTACTAATAAATATAAAATTAAATATTAATAGAATTGCTATAATCAAAAATTAAACAGTGAAATGCTAAATATAAATTAGTTTCTAAAAATGAAGATAGGAATGAGTGGAGATGTCCTTTTTAATATTTTTGTTATATTTGTAAACAAGGTATCAGTAAAAGCTCGTAAAATAAAATAAAACTTTAATTAAAACGACACAAAAAAAATAATTTCTATTAAGATTCTGAATTGAAGGTTTCGCGACTATTATACTACCTTTCTGAAGCACATAGAAAATTAATACGGACGTTAATGTTTAAATTTATAACAATTTGGGAGAAAAATATGCGATTATCGGAGAATATTTATAAATACTGTACAAATATTAAATATAGCTTCTTTTTAAAATGAATCGTGGTTACAAAAACATACAGAAAATTTTTATTTGCTGTAGAGCAATCAACGTAACAATGTTTGCTTATTTCTTTTCTTTTATGCTGCATTAGACAAGATAGTAAACATTGTTATGTTGATTCTCTATAGCAAATAGGGATTTTCTTTATATATATTTATACAAAAAATTTATATATATATACATCTTATAATGCAGCGGTTCCCAAAGTGTGCGCTGCGGCTTCCTCTCATGGGCACCACAAAATGTTTTTAAATTTTTATAATGTTAGAATTTAATGTACTTGCTAGAATTTGTATAATGTATTCGTTGGAATTTGAGATAGGGCGCCCTAGGAAAATCTGCATTTAGCAAGAGCGCCTAGAATCAAAATCGTTTGGGAACCACTTTTATACTATAATCGAAATGAGTTGATGATGATGATAATAATAAGCGCAAAGCGCAAACAGTTAGGAGTTGAAAGTTGAAATTTGGTACACAGTTAAGGTACGCCACGAGAATTCACACCAAGAAGAGAGTTTTGGAAAGGTTAAAGTTAAGGATTACCCTGAAGAATTCGGCTTTTACTGTACTATTTTAGATGCGGTATTTTGCGTTTTTGCGGGAAATGGAACATATTTTTAGACCCATCTAAAAATTCTCTAAGTAGTCTCGGAAGAGGAAGGACCTAATTCTTGCACTCGGTGAAAACGGGTAAGATCGACTATATAACGATAAAGATTATCTTACGTAAGGCTTTATCACACCGAATGACCAATCTAACACATTTTAAAAATTCTTTATTTCTTTATTCCTTTACTGTACACAATTTAAACAATTTTTAACGAGTTCAAATTAAAATATGTTGATGCTGCAGCGTTTTAACTTTTGTCGTCATATTAAAAATAAATAGAATGAAGAATTAAAACAATCAAACAGATACATTTTAAATAAAAAAAATTCTATTCACCAAAATTTCTTTATTTTTGTTTCTTTTTAATGTTGAAGCATTTTTGATCTTAAACGTAGGTCTGTAAAATCGATTCTTTTAGGTACGCATTTTATTTATTCTTAATATGCCGAAAATGACCTAAGTTTACAGCTTCTATCTTATATATAGAAATGATCAATTGTTATGATGCAATGAAACATTAAAGTGTGGCTTTAAAAATTCTTATAACTTCCATTATACAGCAGTTCGAAATATTATCGTAAACACTATAATTTCAAGCTTTGTTTCATTTTCATGCTTATTAATAAATTATTACTTGAATCCTTCCGAACAGTTTATCTTTAAATGTTGAGTATGCATTAATTCTCAAATATTAAACAATTAATAAGCTACAACTTGCATTTTAATTAAATATTTTTACGCTATTAAATTTTTGTATAAACAATTGTTGAACCTGACTCTTGATCTATTTACTTTCTTATATTATTATTTTAATTTTATATTATTGTAAGAGTAAGCCATTTGATTTATTTGAATATTTATAGATTAATAAAAATTAATTATTTAATTAAATTTTAAATGCTTAATTCTTAGATTCCTACTTATCATTTAAATTATTTTAATTATCCTTCTTTTAACAGGTCTGAGTGGTGACGAATTTCGGTTTTCTGCTTCTGGCGATGGTCCTGCTCGATACAATATAATTCACTTTAAACAGATAACACCCGGTAACTATAAATGGATTCAAGTTGGAGAATATAAAAATGGAGAACTGGAACTGAATTTATCTGAAGTCAGATTTAGAATAGATAATCCTGAAATGCCTCTTTCTGTTTGTAGTTTACCTTGTAAAAAAGGACAAGCTAAAAAGCTTTTAGAGGGAGAAAGCTGTTGTTGGCATTGTTTCAATTGTTCCCGTTACCAGTTCCTTAGAACAGACACTCAATGTATGGATTGTCCTCCGGGATTTCTCCCCGATGATAATCAACTGGCTTGCATTCAAATTCCGGAAACACACATGAAACCGGGATGTCCCTGGGCTATAGGAGCAATGGCATTTTCTGCCTTTGGAATATTGCTAACTGGATTTGTCATTGCTGTTTTCCTAAAGCATAACGATACACCTATTGTTAGAGCATCTGGAAGAGAACTAAGCTATGTACTTCTTTCGGGAATATTTATGTGCTATTTAATGACGTTTATTTTGGTGCAAAAACCAACAAATTTTATTTGTGGAGCGCAGAAAACAGGAATTGGGTTATGCTTTGCTATAGTTTACAGTGCCATGTTAACGAAGACAAACCGCATTTCGCGAATTTTTGATGCTGGTAAAAGGACAGTAACAAAACCTGCATTTATTTCTCCACAATCCCAATTAGTTATTTGTGGTGCACTAATTGGTGTTCAAATTTCTATAATAGCTGTTTGGTTGGTATTTACTCCTCCTCGAGCAATTCACTCTTATCCTTCTCGAGAAGAAAGTCAACTGGTATGTGCAGCCTCTATGAATGCTACTTACATGGTTGCCTTTGTTTACCCTATATTTTTGATCATAGTTTGCACCATTTACGCTATTCTAACTCGAAAGATTCCAGAAGCCTTCAATGAATCCAAGTACATAGGACTTACAATGTACACAACCTGTATTATTTGGTTGGCATTTGTGCCTATATATTTCACTACATCCTCAAATGTGGAAGTAAATATTACGTCCATGTGTCTAGCCATAAGTTTGAGTTCGACGGTAACAGTGGTATGTTTGTTTACTCCTAAATTATATATAATAATTTGTCATCCAGAGAAAAACGTACGACAAAACATGATGAAGCAGCAGAAACAAAAGTTATGTTGGAATTCTTCGCCAATACAGGCTGAGGCTTCTTCCCAATTTGATGGTAAGAATGTGAAATTTTATTAATATTACTATTTTATTTATAAATTTTAGCAATATAGATTAGGTCTGTAATTAAAATTATATTTCCAAGACATTTAAAACATAAATTCGGTATCATTAATCTAATGGACTTCTGTAGCCATGTTGGATCTACATCTAAATCCAATTCAGATCTAATTTTATTCGTATTTTGACGATTATAGCGTATTGCAAAAATTCAAAATTTGAATTCTAAATTTGTTCAAATATACTTAATAAAAATGACCTCGTTCAATTTCTATTGTATTCCTGAAACTGGATTGAAGTTTTTCATGAGACAAAAACTTGAGTCTTATGTATTTAATACAAATATATTTTATTGTACATACGTATTATTACAATGAAAGGATTATCACATAATTGACACTATTAATGCCTCATATATCCCTAAAATTCATTTCGACCCTTGATGTTAATGGCTTTTATTATATTATTATATTATAGTATTCCAATTGCGGTACTTTAAAAAGCAATTTATGCGAATAGTTTGATGGCCTTTTTTAAACATAAATGTATAGAAAAATATTTTTCTTACATAGCCGTTTGCTAGGACTTAAGCTGCGACCATTCAGATGCTAGCCAGTGAATTTTTCACGAGAACTATAAGTGAGCGAATGAAAATAGAGAAAAGGTATTTGTAACGTTGTTTGTTATCTCGTTAAAATGATCGTAACTGATGCTTGACGACTTGTGTTTTTATTCGATAAAAAGAAAGAGTTTGAATATTGATTTTTAATACTGTTTAAAGGAAACTAAAATTACGTTATTAGGAGGAGTAAACGGTTTATAAAAAAAACAAGTAAAAACAATCATTTGGCGTTTATTTTATTTGAAGATAACGAAATGGCAAAAGACATCATTATAAGTGGGTAACAAAGAGAATTTTGATTTTATAATTCTATGTATATATTTAACTGATTTATTATATAAAACTTGGCTAAAAGGAAAACCTGTCGTAATTGATTACTGTTTTCATTCACAATGTAATTCTTTTTGTATACCATTGTATAGAAATTAACTAACAATAGAAATGTAATAATAAACGTCCCAAATCAGTAAAACTATAGTAAAAATTTACAATAGTTTTACTGATTTGATTTTCATAAAATTGATAAATTTGTACAGTAGATTGAAGTTATAACGTCTTGGATATAAAACCTATTCCAAATATTCCGTCCCATTTTTCATCGTACAAAATTTGGTCTCGTCGCTCAAACGTGTGGATATGTATGGAGAACAGAGAGCAACAGACATTCAATTTTATATACAGTATGTTGACATTGATTTGGATATATGTAATTAAACCTTTATACATGTTAAATTACACATGATAAATATATTTACTGTATATTTGTAATTTTATTCTCAATTTTTTCTCAAGAATGCACTAACGACAAAGATAAAAAATGGCATAAAAAGCTTTAATTAAGTGCTTGGAATTTTACGATACAACTTCGTTACAGATTAGAAAATTTCGTTACACAGTCAAGGTGCTGGTGTATTTTTATTTACCTAAGACTCAAATAATATAAACCCTCGACTTTATATTATTTGAGGGATCAACAAAGATACATCTAAATTCCGAAAAAATGTTATCAAGATGTTAAACACAAGTTCTCTTTAGGCTTGTTGTCATTAGTTTTAATACGCTTAAAAACTGTATTATAAAAGTTGTTAAATATCTGACTAACGCTTTATTATTCAAAATTAAAAATTTATCTTTTAAAAATTTTAAATATGTTTTCTATATTTAAATACACTTAAAAATTAGAATAGATATACTCGCCAAAATTAAGTTTATTGATGGTTTATTAGAAAAATAAATTAACGAAGTCACAGATATCAAAATATATTTTAAAGAAAGATTACAATTGAAATTGCTGTGGTAAGAACAGTAGCAGAATCTTCCAAACCAATTCAGAGAAAAATAAAATGTAAGTTTAAAAATAACAATTTAAAAATGCGCCATTAACGTAAGCGAAACTGCTATGTCAAACTGAATAAAGGGTAAAAATGTAGGTGTGACGTCAGATGAAATTATCCAAATTTTTTTTCTGCTACATATTTTATTTATAATCTGGGAAAATGAAACTGTTTGGTGGAGGAATGTGAGAAAATGAAGGAAAATAAATGGCACAAGTTACTTTAAAAAAATTAATTAATTTGGGGTACCAACTTCAGATCTAATGAATTAACATAAAAGCATAAAATATTGATATTAGATAAAGAAAATGTTTTATTAAATTATAAAAATGTTAATTGCAACTAAATTATTTTTTTTTTGTAGTTGTAGCTATGTAAAATTTAGAAATAAGTTATTAAACTTTTTTCATTATAGACTAAGTTTCTTTCCTTTAGTTTAGAAAGCATTAAGATTTTGTTAATGATTTTGTTAAATATAAAATGTACGAAGTTTCAAAATTACGTTTATACAGGCCTGTAATATTTCATTATAAAATTACCGTAAGTTTTTAAAAGTTTTCATATAGCTGCTTTAATTATTGGAAAAATGAGATTTTGATTTTTAAATATACTAAATTGCATTTTTAATTGTGTTAAGTTTGTTTTATGTGTAATGCAATTTTTACGTTAGTTATTTTGTTTTATTAGGTTAAAAAAACTTTAATTGTAAATTTATAATCATCGTCTTATCTTACATCTATGAAACTATTACGTTTAAAGTGATTACTATTATAGAAATAGTTTAAATTATATCTTAATCACAATTTTATTTCTTAATAAATCTTATTAATCAGGCAATTTACACAATTAGTTTTATATGAGTTGAATAAGGATAGTTGTAATCTATATAACTCTTATTAATAATAAATTATTTTCTGAATCTTTAAAAATATGCAAATAATGGTGCAATGGCCGGATTTTCGCAAAAGATTTGTCTTTCCATAAAATTATGGAGAGATTAATTCAACACTCTTTGGAAAAAAAGATAAGTAAAAAATATAATTAACAATCACTATTAATTACTGTTTGCAATTGATGATAGCAGCAATAATTTACAGTTTATCCTTACGAAACTAGAATTCATTTAAATTTAATAATATCCAAAAATTGATGGTTGTTTCATTAATCAAGTTTTCAAATGTTGTTCCTAATTTTATGGCCAATATTAAATAAAATTCTGATACTTATTACATAAGTCAAACTCTTATAATATTGTAAAAACAGAATAACTATTCTGAAAATTATAATTCTAGTAATAGGTAATAATATCGATATAATTACATTGTTTATAAAAATACATTTATTTCCTTTGTGTAGCATTAATATACAAATTTTAGAATTTTTATTGTTTATACCGTACTTTTTAATGACTATAAGCAATGTTAATTTTTATTTTTTTATGTGAATGAAAGACTATATAATGGATATCATCTCAGTCTCACAAGTTGTTTAAAAATTAAAGAAAAAAATTTTTCATAAATTCAGAATAGATTTAAATAGTAAATGTATAACTCTTGTGCTGCTTTATAACTTTTATTTATTAAGTGTATTATCTTAAATTAATCTGTGATTTTTTGTGTATTAGTACAATACATGTTAATGATATTTACTATACATTTAACTTTAAAATTAGACAAAAGCAAACAGAGTAATAGCTTAGATTTATCGCAATATTATAATGCAACATCTGTTATCTCGTAGAAAACAAAAACCTGTATTTACGCCTTATATTAACACAGGCCAATCAGTATAAATTTATAACCCCGACTATTCATTCTTAAGCTATTGTCAAGATAATGAGATAATTATTTCAAAAATATTTATTTTTCATTAACTATTTTCTTGATAACGATAAAGGGACATCTACTTCAATGAATAAATATTTAAAATTACACTTTAAAAGTTTTGCCATTTTAATTTTTTTAAAAGTTGTCGATTTTTGTCGCTGCATTCATAAATTTAGGATTATCTTTCGTTCTTCTTGACTGATTATTCTAGATTCGTAGTCATGTGACTTTTTCAGAACTAAAATTTCTTAAAATAATTAAAAGTGTTATAAATTTTTTTAATATAGCTTTACACTTTCTGAAACTTTCTGAACTGAGAGAAATTTTGTATCAGTTGGTCGATTGCATTAAAATCTGTTATCAGTTATCGTTTAAATCGTTTTACGTTATGTTGAATTTACATCGATTTTTCCAATTACATAAACGTATAAAATCATCTAATTAATTTGATGCTTTATTTCACTATATATAAATTATTAATAAAAATATATAATGTAGTATTTTCGTTTTCTGTTACTTATATCTTAAAAGTTTCATTTGAAGTTAATCAAATATAGCGGAAAAATTACACAAAATTTATTGTAGTGTGCACATGTTAATGACTTTAATGTATATTAAATATTATATAAACCAAACATTTCATCATATTGAATTTACTGAACGTAAGTTTCTCATTTCTGACAAAGAGAAGTTAAGAAAAATAATTTTTTTTTAATACAGTTTATTTGACATTTATTTTGTTGTCAACATTTTAAAAAGAACACTTGTAAGAGAAATTAATTTTTCAAAGATTGTCATCGATAGATTTTTCTTCCTACATCGTATACTGAATGAATTTCCACTCGTACTATTGTTACCGATTTTCAACAATACATTGTGCGCTTCAACAAATGACGATCGATCGTGACGTACGGCGTAATTAGAATGAACATCATATCCAAATTTTTAAATATTATACAATGCAGATTTTATCTTCTTATATTATATATATTTCACAGATGCGTAATGGAAAAATAGATCTAAATCGCCTTACATTTAATTGCCACACATTTCAACTTTTACTACATATTATTAACAATGATAAAAATTAATTAGTTGATTTAAATAACTGAAAAAAGAATAAATATTATTTCATTTTTAATTTGGATTTTAAGTATCAAGTATAAATATAATATGTAATGTTCTCATTTTACAATTTTAATAATCTACCTATCTGGCGATATTGAATATGTACAGTACTTAAAACATATATGAAATTTGTTCTCTATTCCCTATACCGCATAAATTCCAGTTAATATTTTTCTTAGAATAAACATGACATCAATAATTTAATTTGTAAACTGTTACCACGATTGAAATTAAAAATACTGAATACAATTTAAATTTTCCATCATGTAACAATTGTAATAAGTTTCTTTTGTTTCTTAATTATTTTTTATTAGTTCAGTTATACAATAACAAATTTAATAATTGATTTATATAAAGATATTANTTTAATCCACTCCTAATTAAGATAGGTTAAAACTTTGATAACATGCGTAAGTCTGATGAGAACGCATTTTTATGATGTTTATGGGGTGGCTCCATCCCCACCGTCATCTTCACCCTATAGACATAAATAAATGTAGAATCTAGTCATAACGTGTGTGTACACACGTTATGACTAGATTCTACATGTATTCTACAGTGTATTGTAATGTGTCATCATTACAATACACTGTAATGATGACACATTCCATCATATCCTAACTCTAATCTAGAAAAACACAATTAATAAAAGTGAATCTTTTACATTTTTAAATTTATATTAAAATTGTTAACCTTTTAAAAACTTCAAACAAATATTTTTATGTTAAAAACTTCTGGTTCATTGGACAGGCGCGGATTATCGACGAAGCTGCGGCGGCGTCCTATTGTTAAATTGTGTTGTGTTGTCAACGACAACACAACACAACTTAATGAGCACGACTTTGGGCTTAATCCAGAGGAAGACCGTCTTCGACCTTAAATTACCGATTTTTATAGTTTTTCTTCCGTTATCCGTATTTCTGATTGGCCCATGTCCATTCCTCGCTTCCCGATTGGCCTCTCCTTTGTTTCCAGATGAAAACCGAACCCTGATCGGGTCAGGAGAAAGGTCCGATTCGAGACATCTGTTCGACACCTTTTCGTCGACTATGCCCGGAGATTGTTGATAGAAGACTTGCACTCATAATTTAGCCCTTTGTTTGCGATTTTTCGTCTTGGAACTTTAACGATCGTACGCGATGTTTTTCTATCTCTCAAATCTTTCCCCTTTTTCGAAATTGTTTTCCTAGATCTACTGGTTATGAGCACCTGAGTCAGAGTTCTACCTAGTTTTTCTCGACTGACATTCCATCTGATCCGCTACGTCATATGTTTTCACGTCGCGTTTGTTTGACAGTTGCATTTTTTTTCTCTCTCTCCCTTAAATAACTAACATAACCTTTGGTCCGACTCGACAATAGCGTTTTCGCTCCTAATTAATTTGAAATTAAATTTTTGTTTCGATCCGTTCTGGAATCTCACAGAAGCTGCTGAGCTGCTGGATGAACCATACAGTTATATCATCGGCAGAATAAAATCTGTGACCTTTAAGAAACTATTTAAACTTTCGAAAACATGAAAGTTATCGGAATTGTAAGGGCAGATGCTGCAGAACTTTTCATTTGTAGCGATGGAGCAGCCACCTTAGAAGTCGTCGAGACTTCTAAGGTGGCTGCTCCATCACTACAAATTGCAAATTTGTAGCAAAAATGCAACTCCATCGCTACAAATTGCAAGTTTTCCTGGAAAACTTGCAATATTCTTGTTTTCGGACCTTTAAAATGTTTCTGAAAGGTTGCAGATTCCAGTCTGACAGCGAATTCCAGCAGCCTTTCTTTTTATATGTGAAGTAATAAAATGAAGCTTACGCAATATTGTCATTGTAATGTGTATAATGTAATCATGCAATGGTGACCTATGACACTGTTTTATAACGTCCAGTGTATGTTTCATTAAACAACGATTATAATTGAAATTGCTCAATCTATTTGCAGAAACTTCTCATTTAACATTTCGATTGATGAAGTTACATTAAAGAAAAAGTTAATTTCTTATTTTATTTATATTTTGTAGGAGTTATAATCTTTGGATCAGATCAAGAAGTAGCCGGAGTAATGAGAGCAATTCGAAGGAACAACGCAACAGGTATCTTCTCTTGGATAGGTAGCGACGGATGGAGTGCAAGAGCATTAGTATTTGAAGGTAATGAAGATCAAGTAGAAGGAACTCTTTCTGTGCAACCGAGAGCAAATCCCGTACATGGTTTCGACGAATATTTTCTAAACTTAACTGTGCACAACAATCGAAGAAATCCTTGGTTCGTGGAATACTGGGAACATTTTTTCAATTGTCGATGGCCCAATAGCAGCGACACTCCATTCAATTTAAGATATGAAAAACTATGTACCGAAGAAGAATTTATGACATATCAAAATGGATACGAACCAGAGAAACAACTCCAGTTTGTCAGCGATGCAGTTCTGGCCTTTGCTCATGCTCTGAAGATGATGCATAACGATTTTTGTCATGGAAAACTGGGCTTATGTGCAAATATGAAATGGAACAATGGAACAATATTACTGGACTATCTAAAAAAAGTATCTTTTGTGGGTAAGTTTAAAAATAACAATAAGAAATTTATTCAACTTTCACTTGTTTTAACAAAAATCTTTATTGTTTAAATATATACGGGTACAAAAATTACAAATCTTCTTTAATACAACACAAGTGCAAGAAATCTAATGTATAACGTCTTCTACTAATAAATATAAAATTAAATATTAATAGAATTGCTATAATCAAAAATTAAACAGTGAAATGCTAAATATAAATTAGTTTCTAAAAATGAAGATAGGAATGAGTGGAGATGTCCTTTTTAATATTTTTGTTATATTTGTAAACAAGGTATCAGTAAAAGCTCGTAAAATAAAATAAAACTTTAATTAAAACGACACAAAAAAAATAATTTCTATTAAGATTCTGAATTGAAGGTTTCGCGACTATTATACTACCTTTCTGAAGCACATAGAAAATTAATACGGACGTTAATGTTTAAATTTATAACAATTTGGGAGAAAAATATGCGATTATCGGAGAATATTTATAAATACTGTACAAATATTAAATATAGCTTCTTTTTAAAATGAATCGTGGTTACAAAAACATACAGAAAATTTTTATTTGCTGTAGAGCAATCAACGTAACAATGTTTGCTTATTTCTTTTCTTTTATGCTGCATTAGACAAGATAGTAAACATTGTTATGTTGATTCTCTATAGCAAATAGGGATTTTCTTTATATATATTTATACAAAAAATTTATATATATATACATCTTATAATGCAGCGGTTCCCAAAGTGTGCGCTGCGGCTTCCTCTCATGGGCACCACAAAATGTTTTTAAATTTTTATAATGTTAGAATTTAATGTACTTGCTAGAATTTGTATAATGTATTCGTTGGAATTTGAGATAGGGCGCCCTAGGAAAATCTGCATTTAGCAAGAGCGCCTAGAATCAAAATCGTTTGGGAACCACTTTTATACTATAATCGAAATGAGTTGATGATGATGATAATAATAAGCGCAAAGCGCAAACAGTTAGGAGTTGAAAGTTGAAATTTGGTACACAGTTAAGGTACGCCACGAGAATTCACACCAAGAAGAGAGTTTTGGAAAGGTTAAAGTTAAGGATTACCCTGAAGAATTCGGCTTTTACTGTACTATTTTAGATGCGGTATTTTGCGTTTTTGCGGGAAATGGAACATATTTTTAGACCCATCTAAAAATTCTCTAAGTAGTCTCGGAAGAGGAAGGACCTAATTCTTGCACTCGGTGAAAACGGGTAAGATCGACTATATAACGATAAAGATTATCTTACGTAAGGCTTTATCACACCGAATGACCAATCTAACACATTTTAAAAATTCTTTATTTCTTTATTCCTTTACTGTACACAATTTAAACAATTTTTAACGAGTTCAAATTAAAATATGTTGATGCTGCAGCGTTTTAACTTTTGTCGTCATATTAAAAATAAATAGAATGAAGAATTAAAACAATCAAACAGATACATTTTAAATAAAAAAAATTCTATTCACCAAAATTTCTTTATTTTTGTTTCTTTTTAATGTTGAAGCATTTTTGATCTTAAACGTAGGTCTGTAAAATCGATTCTTTTAGGTACGCATTTTATTTATTCTTAATATGCCGAAAATGACCTAAGTTTACAGCTTCTATCTTATATATAGAAATGATCAATTGTTATGATGCAATAAAACATTAAAGTGTGGCTTTAAAAATTCTTATAACTTCCATTATACAGCAGTTCGAAATATTATCGTAAACACTATAATTTCAAGCTTTGTTTCATTTTCATGCTTATTAATAAATTATTACTTGAATCCTTCCGAACAGTTTATCTTTAAATGTTGAGTATGCATTAATTCTCAAATATTAAACAATTAATAAGCTACAACTTGCATTTTAATTAAATATTTTTACGCTATTAAATTTTTGTATAAACAATTGTTGAACCTGACTCTTGATCTATTTACTTTCTTATATTATTATTTTAATTTTATATTATTGTAAGAGTAAGCCATTTGATTTATTTGAATATTTATAGATTAATAAAAATTAATTATTTAATTAAATTTTAAATGCTTAATTCTTAGATTCCTACTTATCATTTAAATTATTTTAATTATCCTTCTTTTAACAGGTCTGAGTGGTGACGAATTTCGGTTTTCTGCTTCTGGCGATGGTCCTGCTCGATACAATATAATTCACTTTAAACAGATAACACCCGGTAACTATAAATGGATTCAAGTTGGAGAATATAAAAATGGAGAACTGGAACTGAATTTATCTGAAGTCAGATTTAGAATAGATAATCCTGAAATGCCTCTTTCTGTTTGTAGTTTACCTTGTAAAAAAGGACAAGCTAAAAAGCTTTTAGAGGGAGAAAGCTGTTGTTGGCATTGTTTCAATTGTTCCCGTTACCAGTTCCTTAGAACAGACACTCAATGTATGGATTGTCCTCCGGGATTTCTCCCCGATGATAATCAACTGGCTTGCATTCAAATTCCGGAAACACACATGAAACCGGGATGTCCCTGGGCTATAGGAGCAATGGCATTTTCTGCCTTTGGAATATTGCTAACTGGATTTGTCATTGCTGTTTTCCTAAAGCATAACGATACACCTATTGTTAGAGCATCTGGAAGAGAACTAAGCTATGTACTTCTTTCGGGAATATTTATGTGCTATTTAATGACGTTTATTTTGGTGCAAAAACCAACAAATTTTATTTGTGGAGCGCAGAAAACAGGAATTGGGTTATGCTTTGCTATAGTTTACAGTGCCATGTTAACGAAGACAAACCGCATTTCGCGAATTTTTGATGCTGGTAAAAGGACAGTAACAAAACCTGCATTTATTTCTCCACAATCCCAATTAGTTATTTGTGGTGCACTAATTGGTGTTCAAATTTCAATAATAGCTGTTTGGTTGGTATTTACTCCTCCTCGAGCAATTCACTCTTATCCTTCTCGAGAAGAAAGTCAACTGGTATGTGCAGCCTCTATGAATGCTACTTACATGGTTGCCTTTGTTTACCCTATATTTTTGATCATAGTTTGCACCATTTACGCTATTCTAACTCGAAAGATTCCAGAAGCCTTCAATGAATCCAAGTACATAGGACTTACAATGTACACAACCTGTATTATTTGGTTGGCATTTGTGCCTATATATTTCACTACATCCTCAAATGTGGAAGTAAATATTACGTCCATGTGTCTAGCCATAAGTTTGAGTTCGACGGTAACAGTGGTATGTTTGTTTACTCCTAAATTATATATAATAATTTGTCATCCAGAGAAAAACGTACGACAAAACATGATGAAGCAGCAGAAACAAAAGTTATGTTGGAATTCTTCGCCAATACAGGCTGAGGCTTCTTCCCAATTTGATGGTAAGAATGTGAAATTTTATTAATATTACTATTTTATTTATAAATTTTAGCAATATAGATTAGGTCTGTAATTAAAATTATATTTCCAAGACATTTAAAACATAAATTCGGTATCATTAATCTAATGGACTTCTGTAGCCATGTTGGATCTACATCTAAATCCAATTCAGATCTAATTTTATTCGTATTTTGACGATTATAGCGTATTGCAAAAATTCAAAATTTGAATTCTAAATTTGTTCAAATATACTTAATAAAAATGACCTCGTTCAATTTCTATTGTATTCCTGAAACTGGATTGAAGTTTTTCATGAGACAAAAACTTGAGTCTTATGTATTTAATACAAATATATTTTATTGTACATACGTATTATTACAATGAAAGGATTATCACATAATTGACACTATTAATGCCTCATATATCCCTAAAATTCATTTCGACCCTTGATGTTAATGGCTTTTATTATATTATTATATTATAGTATTCCAATTGCGGTACTTTAAAAAGCAATTTATGCGAATAGTTTGATGGCCTTTTTTAAACATAAATGTATAGAAAAATATTTTTCTTACATAGCCGTTTGCTAGGACTTAAGCTGCGACCATTCAGATGCTAGCCAGTGAATTTTTCACGAGAACTATAAGTGAGCGAATGAAAATAGAGAAAAGGTATTTGTAACGTTGTTTGTTATCTCGTTAAAATGATCGTAACTGATGCTTGACGACTTGTGTTTTTATTCGATAAAAAGAAAGAGTTTGAATATTGATTTTTAATACTGTTTAAAGGAAACTAAAATTACGTTATTAGGAGGAGTAAACGGTTTATAAAAAAAACAAGTAAAAACAATCATTTGGCGTTTATTTTATTTGAAGATAACGAAATGGCAAAAGACATCATTATAAGTGGGTAACAAAGAGAATTTTGATTTTATAATTCTATGTATATATTTAACTGATTTATTATATAAAACTTGGCTAAAAGGAAAACCTGTCGTAATTGATTACTGTTTTCATTCACAATGTAATTCTTTTTGTATACCATTGTATAGAAATTAACTAACAATAGAAATGTAATAATAAACGTCCCAAATCAGTAAAACTATAGTAAAAATTTACAATAGTTTTACTGATTTGATTTTCATAAAATTGATAAATTTGTACAGTAGATTGAAGTTATAACGTCTTGGATATAAAACCTATTCCAAATATTCCGTCCCATTTTTCATCGTACAAAATTTGGTCTCGTCGCTCAAACGTGTGGATATGTATGGAGAACAGAGAGCAACAGACATTCAATTTTATATACAGTATGTTGACATTGATTTGGATATATGTAATTAAACCTTTATACATGTTAAATTACACATGATAAATATATTTACTGTATATTTGTAATTTTATTCTCAATTTTTTCTCAAGAATGCACTAACGACAAAGATAAAAAATGGCATAAAAAGCTTTAATTAAGTGCTTGGAATTTTACGATACAACTTCGTTACAGATTAGAAAATTTCGTTACACAGTCAAGGTGCTGGTGTATTTTTATTTACCTAAGACTCAAATAATATAAACCCTCGACTTTATATTATTTGAGGGATCAACAAAGATACATCTAAATTCCGAAAAAATGTTATCAAGATGTTAAACACAAGTTCTCTTTAGGCTTGTTGTCATTAGTTTTAATACGCTTAAAAACTGTATTATAAAAGTTGTTAAATATCTGACTAACGCTTTATTATTAAAAATTAAAAATTTATCTTTTAAAAATTTAAAATATGTTTTCTATGTTTAAATACACTTAAAAATTAGAATAGATATACTCGCCAAAATTAAGTTTATTGATGGTTTATTAGAAAAATAAATTAACGAAGTCACAGATATCAAAATATATTTTAAAGAAAGATTACAATTGAAATTGCTGTGGTAAGAACAATAGCAGAATCTTCCGAACCAATTCAGAGAAAAATAAAATGTAAGTTTAAAAATAACAATTTAAAAATGCGCCATTAACGTAAGCGAAACTGCTATGTCAAACTGAATAAAGGGTAAAAATGTAGGTGTGACGTCAGATGAAATTATCCGAATTTTTTTTCTGCTACATATTTTATGTATAATCTGGGAAAATGAAACTGTTTGGTGGAGGAATGTGAGAAAATGAAGGAAAATAAATGGCACAAGTTACTTTAAAAAAATTAATTAATTTGGGGTACCAACTTCAGATCTAATGAATTAACATAAAAGCATAAAATATTGATATTAGATAAAGAAAATGTTTTATTAAATTATAAAAATGTTAATTGCAACTAAATTATTTTTTTTTTGTAGTTGTAGCTATGTAAAATTTAGAAATAAGTTATTAAACTTTTTTCATTATAGACTAAGTTTCTTTCCTTTAGTTTAGAAAGCATTAAGATTTTGTTAATGATTTTGTTAAATATAAAATGTACGAAGTTTCAAAATTACGTTTATACAGGCCTGTAATATTTCATTATAAAATTACCGTAAGTTTTTAAAAGTTTTCATATAGCTGCTTTAATTATTGGAAAAATGAGATTTTGATTTTTAAATATACTAAATTGCATTTTTAATTGTGTTAAGTTTGTTTTATGTGTAATGCAATTTTTACGTTAGTTATTTTGTTTTATTAGGTTAAAAAAACTTTAATTGTAAATTTATAATCATCGTCTTATCTTACATCTATGAAACTATTACGTTTAAAGTGATTACTATTATAGAAATAGTTTAAATTATATCTTAATCACATTTTATTTCTTAATAAATCTTATTAATCAGGCAATTTACACAATTAGTTTTATATGAGTTGAATAAGGATAGTTGTAATCTATATAACTCTTATTAATAATAAATTATTTTCTGAATCTTTAAAAATATGCAAATAATGGTGCAATGGCCGGATTTTCGCAAAAGATTTGTCTTTCCATAAAATTATGGAGAGATTAATTCAACACTCTTTGGAAAAAAAGATAAGTAAAAAATATAATTAACAATCACTATTAATTACTGTTTGCAATTGATGATAGCAGCAATAATTTACAGTTTATCCTTACGAAACTAGAATTCATTTAAATTTAATAATATCCAAAAATTGATGGTTGTTTCATTAATCAAGTTTTCAAATGTTGTTCCTAATTTTATGGCCAATATTAAATAAAATTCTGATACTTATTACATAAGTCAAACTCTTATAATATTGTAAAAACAGAATAACTATTCTGAAAATTATAATTCTAGTAATAGGTAATAATATCGATATAATTACATTGTTTATAAAAATACATTTATTTCCTTTGTGTAGCATTAATATACAAATTTTAGAATTTTTATTGTTTATACCGTACTTTTTAATGACTATAAGCAATGTTAATTTTTATTTTTTTATGTGAATGAAAGACTATATAATGGATATCATCTCAGTCTCACAAGTTGTTTAAAAATTAAAGAAAAAAATTTTTCATAAATTCAGAATAGATTTAAATAGTAAATGTATAACTCTTGTGCTGCTTTATAACTTTTATTTATTAAGTGTATTATCTTAAATTAATCTGTGATTTTTTGTGTATTAGTACAATACATGTTAATGATATTTACTATACATTTAACTTTAAAATTAGACAAAAGCAAACAGAGTAATAGCTTAGATTTATCGCAATATTATAATGCAACATCTGTTATCTCGTAGAAAACAAAAACCTGTATTTACGCCTTATATTAACACAGGCCAATCAGTATAAATTTATAACCCCGACTATTCATTCTTAAGCTATTGTCAAGATAATGAGATAATTATTTCAAAAATATTTATTTTTCATTAACTATTTTCTTGATAACGATAAAGGGACATCTACTTCAATGAATAAATATTTAAAATTACACTTTAAAAGTTTTGCCATTTTAATTTTTTTAAAAGTTGTCGATTTTTGTCGCTGCATTCATAAATTTAGGATTATCTTTCGTTCTTCTTGACTGATTATTCTAGATTCGTAGTCATGTGACTTTTTCAGAACTAAAATTTCTTAAAATAATTAAAAGTGTTATAAATTTTTTTAATATAGCTTTACACTTTCTGAAACTTTCTGAACTGAGAGAAATTTTGTATCAGTTGGTCGATTGCATTAAAATCTGTTATCAGTTATCGTTTAAATCGTTTTACGTTATGTTGAATTTACATCGATTTTTCCAATTACATAAACGTATAAAATCATCTAATTAATTTGATGCTTTATTTCACTATATATAAATTATTAATAAAAATATATAATGTAGTATTTTCGTTTTCTGTTACTTATATCTTAAAAGTTTCATTTGAAGTTAATCAAATATAGCGGAAAAATTATACAAAATTTATTGTAGTGTGCACATGTTAATGACTTTAATGTATATTAAATATTATATAAACCAAACATTTCATCATATTGAATTTACTGAACGTAAGTTTCTCATTTCTGACAAAGAGAAGTTAAGAAAAATAATTTTTTTTTAATACAGTTTATTTGACATTTATTTTGTTGTCAACATTTTAAAAAGAACACTTGTAAGAGAAATTAATTTTTCAAAGATTGTCATCGATAGATTTTTCTTCCTACATCGTATACTGAATGAATTTCCACTCGTACTATTGTTACCGATTTTCAACAATACATTGTGCGCTTCAACAAATGACGATCGATCGTGACGTACGGCGTAATTAGAATGAACATCATATCCAAATTTTTAAATATTATACAATGCAGATTTTATCTTCTTATATTATATATATTTCACAGATGCGTAATGGAAAAATAGATCTAAATCGCCTTACATTTAATTGCCACACATTTCAACTTTTACTACATATTATTAACAATGATAAAAATTAATTAGTTGATTTAAATAACTGAAAAAAGAATAAATATTATTTCATTTTTAATTTGGATTTTAAGTATCAAGTATAAATATAATATGTAATGTTCTCATTTTACAATTTTAATAATCTACCTATC